AATGACACAGAATGAAGTATTGAAACACAGAGCAATATGGATGAATCTCCAAACACTGAAACACAGAGCAATATGGATGAATCTCCAAACACTGAAACACAGAGCAATATGGATGAATCTCAAATCATCTTGCCATCTATCTGACATTCTGGGAAAGCCCAAACCATAGGAAGAGAGAACCATGTCCCTATAGTGGGACACTGGATGCCAGGGGCAGGAGAGGCTGACTACAAAGAGACAGCGAGAGGAAATGCTCTGATGTGATGAGCCTATTCTGCTTCACCTGCGGAGGCAGATAAGCAACGCTATACCTATGTCAAGACCCACAGAACTCCACACCACGGAGTACATTTTACTGTACACAAATTTTAAATTTTTTAAGCTAATTCTTTAACCATGATTTGGTTAAAGATCACCTCTAAAATAACATGAACACAAAGGTGTGTGTTTCCGTAACGTCTGATCAAGTCTGCTGTCTTGTTCTGACGGTCCTGGGATTAGGAGGAGATGATGGGGAATGAAGCAATCAGTGTCCCTGTCCTGGCAACCTCTGCTCCGGCTGTGAACAGCAGCTGGAGTTCCACCAAGGATACAGTAAAGGTCGTCCAAAGCCAACTGGAGATCAACTGTATTGCACAGCAAAGTCCAAGAGACCATTTCAAGAGAAGAAATAATTGGGAGACGGGAGAACACGAACCCTAAAATTCTAACTCCCAGTCAAAAGCATCAGAAGATTCCACTGACGAGATGGCAATCTCCTTCCTAGACCTTGCTTAAAATGAGTCAAGGTGGGCGGGGGCAGGGAATCGCTGAGAGAAAAGAGCAAAAGGAAAAGAGAGCGTGTGTGCTCCTGAACCAGGCTGTGCTGAGAGTTCCCAACGCCCTGGCTCCCATGTTCCTTAACATGGAAAAAATGACTCCGACCAGGCAGAGGATAAAAACAAGAAGGGTTCAACACCCAGTTCCACTTTCTTTCCAGTGTGCTCTCCTCAGCCAAACCCACACATTCCTGCTCCGGAGGGGACAGACCGCAGGCCGTCCTCAGGCAGTGCTGTAGGCACCGCCGGCCAGGGGCTGGGCTCAGGGCTCCAGTGACAGGAACTGCACGCACCAGGTCCCCCTGGCTCTCCCAGGAAGGAACATGCCCCAGCTTATCCGGCACTCTCACAGCCACATTCCCCAGCGCGGAAGACTCTCCCGCTCCAGGGAGGCCTGGGCCTGCCACACTGTCCTCCCTCAGCGTGAGATCAACACCTGAGGCAAGCTCCAATCCAACATGAGCTCATGACTCCCGCCCCAGAGAACCAGCTCTCCAACCCTCAGCAGCATTTGCAGCTGGAAAGACTGGTCTCAATGCAAAACAAATGCCATCTTCAGGAGGCTTCAAGGGGGAGGGAGAGGAACAAAGCTAGAAACCACCAAGACTGAAAACCAGAACATTCCATGACATGCAATGTCCTACTACAAAGAGGTTTTCTAAACATATTCGCAATGTGTAGCCGTGGCAAGGGGGTGGCTGTCAAAAGTTAACCAAAAATCACTGCCTCTCAAAAGACAAGAATGAAGGACTAAATGATACAACAGCTTATCGTATTAAGCTAATTAAAGTTTATCATATTAGCCATCTGAGTTTGAGTTGGCATCAGAAACGCAGGGGCAGCACACCGTGCAGCATGGATTCGGATCTGCTTCGCAAGCATATTCCTGCCACAATCATACACAGAACCTCTGGCAGTCAGAAATGATGGAGAATTGAAAACCAATTTTAGCACAGTGATTTGTAAAGAATTTTGTTCCATCATGTAAGCTATTTACTGGTATATCCATCCGAGATTACATTTATCTCTATTAAATACTCCATAAAGTATGCTGAGCTAACCATGCACTCTTGTTTCCCTTTTGCCAGTTTTATCACACAGTGGATCTTCTGTAGCCAAATGAAAAACATTTTAACAATAAAACCCTTGCATACTTGACATCCTTCACCAACTGCCAGCATACGACTTAACCAATTCCAAGATCCTCGGCATGGCTGAAAAGCCCCCATTCTGCTGAACACGGGCAGGAACAAAATGCCTACTTCCAAGTAGGGGAAAATTTTATTTTCAAGCATGTCTTCTATGCTCCTCTTGACTGTACTTTTCCCAAAAACCGGCAGAAAGGCAGGACCAGTTCTATCTGTTGTTGAGATCATATTGGATCCCATTCTGGAGCTGCTGGTTTCCTGTTTGGGGAAGTTGCAGTTCTTTTCACAAGGAACCCAAGGCAAAATGTTGAGTGTTCCCCCCTGTCAGCCTCCTCAGCCTTTGTTCTTCACTTTGCTACTCTCCTTACTGCTTTCCTTCTCCTCTCCCCTCCTCTCCAACCTCTGGTTTTGGAGGGTGCATGACAACGCCTGCTCAAACCTAACTGCAATCTTTAAAGGCATCAGACATTTTCTACCACCCATTCCGGTCCAGCTTTGAGTTAACAGGCATCTTTTCACAGAGGAAACCAGACTACCCGGCTTCCTCCTGGCATTGCATTAGTATTCCACATTAAATATATGCCACAAAGAATCCAATGGCGAACTCACCGTCAACAGCCCCCAAAATCAATACAAGACATTCCACCACTTGACTCGGAGTGAAAAACCTTTCCAGGTTAACACAAGAGAGCAAGGTAAAAGAAAGGGGTTGCATGAACAAAAGGCACATCTACCTCCAGACTCCTCAAATCCTAAAAAGGTGGCTAGGCTGCCTCGATTTGGTGAAACACTTCCTTTCCTTGTAATCATCGGGAAAATGCCACATGTGTACTGCTGTCGTCTTATGCAAAACAGCACATTCTCCACAAGGCCCTGGCGCCTACCATTCTCCAATCGCCTCCTTCCAGGCCTGACTCTCCCGACTGCCCAGACACATGCCATTTAATGAAGGCATTCCGATTTCGTCTTGATCGCAATACCATCATGAAGTCACTCTAATCCCATTAAACTGGGATCACATTAAGAGCATTTCTTCTCCACTCTGAACCCAATTTTATCTCCTGGGTAGCAATCCACGGTCCGTCTGTGTCTAAATGGATCTGCAAATCAATATTTAAATTCATGCTCAAAACAGCATATCTCACCTTGTGAACCTTGACCTTTTGGAAAGACTTTAGACCAATGTTCAGTTACTGTCACACGGCTGCATTCTCAGCAAATAGGAAAGGGTTAAAAGCGGCCCCAGTCAACAGGCCTACAAGGAAAAAAAAGACAGCATGTATGGCTAACAGCATCACTGGAATGCATTTATGCCCATTTCCTAGAACAATATTGTTACCTTTTGGCCTTCATTATACTCAGAAGCATCCCCAACACCCTTTAGTAGCTTCTAAAAGAAAAAGCACAACACAGAACATAGCCTGCAAGAGAAAAAAAGCATGCAAAGTAGCATTCTCCAGCAACAAACAAACTACCATCACAAACCCCTCAGTTCACTTTGGTTTTGTTTTGTTAAAAACACCGAGAAACAGAGCGAGAGACTGCATCCACCAAGTGTCCCCACCCTAGCAAGGCACATTTTTTTCTTCTAATAAGGGACATAAATCTCAGCTCCTTGTCCATCCCTTAAGCAAAAGAAAAAGGCAGGAAAAGCCCAAGTCATCTCAGATCCTGCAAACCTGCACCTTTTTTTTCCATCTTCTCTACCCAGAATCTTTTAGGGCTCCATTAGTCACGTACCAGTGCTGTGTGGTGTCTAAGTGTGCATTCACATACTGTGTAGGGATGGTACCTTCCTGCAAGCTCCTCTGCTTTTGGCTGCCATGAAGGGAGGAAGCTGCTATCCTACTGTAGTAGCTCAGTGACTGCATTGTGTTCAGGAGCTGATCTGCCTCAAACCAGTTTCAGCCGGTTCTGGTCACCCTACATAAAAAAGCTATGGCAACCCTCGCTGAGTTGCCAACAAGTCCCTGAAAATCATCAGCACACGGGGGATCTCGCTGGGGGTGGCTCTTCCCTCTTAGGTCTTCCAGAGGAGGGGAAGGTCATCGTGTGTCCTCCCACCCCACGAGCACCCAGCCTTGGAGAGGCTCACCTTGCAAGCACCCCAGAGCCCCTCAGGGCCCATCCCCCCTCCCCTCCACCCCACAGCCCACCGCAGACACTGTTTCCCCCTCCTTCTCCTTCCCCCACTTACCTCCCACAACCTGGCTCAGATCTTTGTGTACGTGTGTGTCAGTGTGTGTTCTCTGTGTTGGTGGCTGACAAAGAGCCCCCAAGAAAGCGAGCTATGTGTGTCTGCTCACACGGGATGCGTCGGCTGCAGAGCCGGCCTGGCCTCCTAGCACAGTGGTGCTGGCTTGTTGACCAGGCTCCTCTCTGCTGTCACCCCCACCCCACCCAGCCCCCTCCTCCCATCCGTCCCTCTCCTCTCTCTCCCAGCCCTGTCACCACCACCAGCAGCCCCCCAGTCTCCTCCTCCTCCTCCTCCAACCTTCTCTGCTTTCAAGCACCTGGGGGGAGAAGTCCAAATCCCTTCACCTCGGGGGAAGAAAACTGGGGCTGTCTGGGGAGGGGGCGGGGGGCGAAGGCAGGGCCGGGGGGAGAGGGGGCACGGAGGCCTCTGCATCTGTGCCCGGCCGGCGCCGGCGGGGGGAGCAGGAGAGCCGCGCTCACGTGGCCCCCCCTCGGAACCTGCGGGGCCTAGCCAGGGCGGCTCCTCCTCGGCCCCCCAAGCCGGCTGGCGGGGCGCGAAGGCCGGCCGTCCCCAAGGCCGGGGTGGGACAGGCCACTGCGGGCAGGCCCAGGGGCTCGAGCTTCACGCGCTCACCCCGGCCCGCAGGGATGGGCTCGAGGGGCCGCGCCCCGCCTCTGCCCGGCGCCCACCCGCGCCCCTGCGTCCGGCTGCCTTGCGCCCCTCGCTCGCCCCGGCCGCCCCCGCCGCCCCCAGCCCCGGAGGCGCACACCCACCCCCGTCCCGGGGTTGGCCTTCGCGGCGGTCAAGCCCGGGCGTCTGGGCCGCAGCTCGGATGACCTTTGTTCAGCGCGGCGCCGCCGGCGGCTGCTGCTGTGGCTGCTGCTGCTGTCGTCGGAGCGGCGGCGGCGGCTTCCATGTTACGGGCGTGTCATCTGCGTTCCCGCCGCCGGGGTCTGTGTGTGCGTGTGCGGTGGAGCGGCCTCGCCGCCGCCGCCGCCGCCTCCCGGGCTCCCCGGCCGCCGCCGCCGCCGCCTCCGGGCCTCGCCGAGCGCCCGGCCCGGGCCCCGCGCCTCCCCGGGCACCGCGCTCTAGGCCGCGCGGCGGCGGCGGCGGCCGGCCCGCCACGCCGGGGCCTACGGCTGGGGGTGCGGGCCCGGGCGGCGGCGGCGGCGGCTCGGCCCGGGCGGCGAGCGAACAAAAGGGAGCGCGGGCGAGGGGGAGGGGGCGGCCGGTGGGGGAAGGGAGGCTCCGGGAGCCGGGCGGCGGCGGCGGCGCGAAGCCCCGTGGCCGGCGGGCGCCGACGCCCGGCCGCTGCCGAGCCCCGGAGTCCGGCGGCGGCGAGGAGGCGCCCCGCGGAGCCGCGGAGTGTCGCCCGCACGGGGCCGCAGGCTCGCGGCGTCGCCCCGGGAGCGGAGCGGGGTGGTGGGGCTGGTGAGGGGCGCAGGGAGGGCTGCTTTTTTCCAACGACATTGCGGGCTGTGCTCACCCAGTCCTTTCCGTGGCCCCAAGCCGCGACTTACTCGAGTGGAAGGAAGCAAGGCCTCGCCAAAGATGGTTGAAAAGACCGTGAGCCTCTACCCAGGATCTTGAAGCCAAGGTGGTGGTTTTGTTCTCCTCGTAATGGTGGCAAATAAGTAAGAAGAGAGCACGCTATCTTCAGACCAATTAACTCTGAAATTCTCCCTGTAGGTGGAAGAAGGGGCTCTCCTCGGGTTAGTTAGTGGTTTGGAGCCCTTTTCGCCTTCAACTGAGCCACAAAAGAATGGAAGACACCCCCTGGGGTGGGGAGAAAGCCCTGGTGTAAGAGACACACGTTTTGCTTTCAGAGAAAAAGCCACTGGGGCCAGATTGAAACATGGCATGTTCAGTTCATGTTAGGTTTTTTTTTTTTCTTTCTTAATGGGGGAATGATACTGAGTAAACAAGATGTAATAGCTAGGTCTTTAAATTCTACAAGGGAGAGGGTGTACAAATGTAACAAGCACATATTGTCCGTACAGCAGGTGGTCATAGCCCACGGAACACAAAAAGATACATATGTAAGCCTGCTAAAGGTCACGAAGGTGTATAATCGTGACCCGTGCAAGGGCGACAGACGATAGATTTCCATTCCAGATGAGCTAGGCTGCTTTCCCAGCCCCGTGTCCTACTTCCTTTATTGTTCACAGACGTGCACTCCCTTGAAAGGTTTCTAAAACCGGACAGAAACCTCCATGTCAAGCTAATTGTGCCCACACTGGAAACAGCACAAAATGGAAGGACCTGGAAAAATATGTCACCGTAACCTCTTAAAAAGGTTCACTCCTGGTTGATCGGAATCTGAAGACACAAATAACACTCGAGTAGCAGTGACGACTCCCAAGCCTAAGAAGCATTACTCTTTCCTTGTAAATCAGATTGATGGGTTAGTATTTGCAAAGTGTGCTGAAAAGTTAAAAAAAAAAAAAAATCTCAGTATACCTCTCTCCGGCGTGAACTTCCGTTGAGGAAGCCATTGTTCTCGGTGATGCAAGCCCTGTATGATGCAAATTGCAAGTAGCATTTTTGCTGTTTAAGACTTTTCATGTAAATGACCCGAATTATCGTCTCACGGAAGAGTAGCTGGTCTTTAATTTCAAACAGCAAATTGTTTGGAATTGCGCGTAAATTAGAATACGTATTTGCATATTTACACACGTTTAGGAAGACCTGTGTAATCTGCAAATTTTGCCAGTCACGGCATCCCATTTATCAGTATTACAAGACGATGAAATTGAAACCGTTGTCTTCTTTTGGCCTGAAAACGGTGCCAGTACTCTGTGGGTTGGGTTTCAGCTTTACCTGGGCTCGATTTCATTTGAAAGGGACCCTTTTTTCTTCTCTCAAAGATGGGCCTTTATTAATATGCATATAAAAACCGTGTGTGCATTGAAGGGTACACTAGGGCCTGCTAATGTGAAAGCCTGACATGCTCCACATTTTGCAATCTATGGAATTTAATAATGTACATACCACGATCAATCCTAGGTTTCATGGATTTGGAATCTTTGTTTACTTAAAATACTCTCTTGCCCCTCCCCCACTCCCTCTTAAGAGTCGAAATGACAGCAAAGCAGCTTTCCAATGGTTACAAGAGTTGTACTACCAAAACTAAAGAAAGTCTGAAATGCTTATCATAAAGAGTCTTCAGCTGTACCACTGCCTCGTGGCTTCATCATGCCAAATACTTTTTTGAGCGGGGCTCTGTACAAAGCTCAGTGATTTAGTCAAGCCTCGGCTGGAAGACATTTGGTCTAGAAGCACAACTGATCATTTGCACAAATGGCAACAAATAACATTGCATCTGCTTTTAAATACCATAAGCCAAAAAAAAAAAAATAAACGATAACTTATTGCAAGTTATCTCAGTTCTATTTTTATAAAGAGGATTTCAGGGAAACTCCTTTGCCAGGTAGACCAATAGTTAAAAGCAAAGCACCCGCCTTAGTCCATTTTGCAAAATCATTAAATTTCACAGCGGAAAAGACAGCATTTATTCTGTTTTTCTTTAAAAAAAAAAAAAAAAGACGCTACTCCTCTTGCAAAAAAACAATACAAAAAGATTCATTCTATTATTCTACATATGTAAGCTCTCTTGTGCACCTCTCTGCTTTGAGCAACAATAGAATCAGTCACTTGACTGCAAGAATGAAATAAAACTGTCATTTGAGTGCAGTCGATAAGGAAGGGCAGAACAAAGAAATCATATGATTCTTATGCCAAATGGAAACTAAAGGAATTCCGAACCCTTTGGGATTTTGTTGTTGCTGTTTTTATTGCTAACTCTCAGTGTCTTGGCTTTTCCTCCAATCAGTGTATTACACAATCCTAGCTTTTTTTCTTTAATCTTTTGTGGCTGGAAGCCAGCTTTGCAGAAGCATGTAAATATCATCATACTTTCCTCCAAATGCTGTCATGAAATTAGGAAATTCCTTCGTTAGGTAGAGCGAAAGGTGTGTTCCTGGAGGGAAAGTGGAAGGAGAAAAGGAAACGCCTTTTCTTTATCTCACCATCCAGAGGTCCTCTGGAACCACTCCTAAACCGAGCAGTCTCACGCCTTGAACTACACATTTTTTTTTTTTTTTTTTTTTTTTTTTTTTTTTTTTTTGAGACGGAGTTTCACTCTTGTTACCCAGGCTGGAGTGCAATGGCGCGATCTCGGCTCACCGCAACCTCCACCTCCTGGGTTCAGGCAATTCTCCTGCCTCAGCCTCCTGAGTAGCTGGGATTACAGGCACGCACCACCACGCCCAGCTAATTTTTTGTATTTTTAGTAGAGACGGGGTTTCACCATGTTGACCAGGTTGGTCTCGATCTCTCGACCTTGTGATCCACCCGCCTCGGCCTCCCAAAGTGCTGGGATTACAGGCTTGAGCCACCGCGCCCGGCCTTGAACTACACATTTTTTAGCTCAAAACCAAGCTAGGCCTAGGGGTTTATAGAGAGATTAATATGTTAAATGTGGTAGCTTCTTTTTAAAGAAATTATTACACTGTTCAAGCCTGGCATCATAATTTAAAGATTTGTAGAGTAGCCAGCAAAGAAAAAGGGGGGAAAAAGGTCTACCTTTTCTTTTTAACAACATCAAAATATTGATAGAATCAGGGGATTTTTAATATTCGAAAACATACCCTTGAAAGAAATCATAACCAAGTTTAAATTATTACTGGCCTGCCAGAAATAGACTGTAGAATATTCCCCTTATCCTTTGTTAGCAATTTCGTAAATAGATTTCTGTGGTAAAACCACCTCTCCTTTTTTAAGCCTCAGTTTGGAAATGCCTGCAAAGGCCTTTCACTGAGAGACCCGAAGCGGGTGGGGGTTGGGCTCAGCACTGGGCATTATTTACCAGGCCCCTAGATATTTGAATGACTTCCTAGGTCCTGGCTACTGGATGAATCCACTAATCCTTACCTCCTGCTGTCTCTTTAGGCCTAAACGCTGGAAAGCTGGCCTTGGCCAACCAAGGAAAGAGATAAGGAGGGTAGGGACAGAGAAAAGTGGGTAGTTTCTATGAGCTCTCCTTTCAGGAGTCAAAAGAGAGCCAGAAGCATGGGGATTGGGATCCCGGTAAAGAATCATCTGCAGAAACTGGGCCAAAGGAGAAATACGTAGAGAACTTTGTAAGATTTCCTAACCCTGTGTAACTTTTGTATGTTACATCTGGGCTTCCTTCAAAGAAACTCAGTTTGGGTTTGTTCTCCACTCTCTAAGTACAAGAGGAGGGGAAGAGAAAGAAGAACCTAGAAAGGTATCTGACAAAGGAAGAGGCGTCCGGCTTAATCCTTTGAGGGCCCATCTGAAGGAGAAGGGAACTTAGGAAATGGGGACCCAGTTCCTCCTGAGAAGGAATCTCACTGGTCTCGTGCAGGCACTCACATTTACTTCATCTTCCCATGCTGCCCTCAACATTCTGGACATCCCCATCACGGAGCACAATGCTTTGAACTTCCGTAATTGACATTAATTATCCGTGAACTAAGGAATGGATCATGAACCTAGAGGCACCTAAAAGTAAAAATGTCCCCAGCTAAACCTAAGCTCTTTAGCTATCGTAGTGGATGCAGTAGTGTTTGGCCTAGATTCGCTCTTCAGGGTGTACACCCCATCCCCTAGCTGCTAAGAATATTGACTGCTGACTACTCACCGACGAGTCCCTCACTGCAGATTGCCTTGGCCACTGTCTTGTGACAGTTCTTGGAAACTGTCTTGCCCAAGGCTACCCCCACTTCCAAGAAGCAGCCAACATCTGGCCGATGCAGAGATAGAAAAGCTTGGCCCTCCTGCCTTCATTTGGGCCAACTCTGAAGGGCCATCCTGGCTCCAGAGCTCCCTGTATTGGCTGAGGCCTCAATCTCCATAGCACTGTGAGCCAACTCCTTTCTTTTTTTTTTTTTTTTTTTTTTTTTTTTGAGACGGAGTTTTGCTCTTGTTGCCCAGGCTGGAGTGCAATGGCGCGATCTCGGCTCACCGCAACCTCCGC